GGGGGGTAAAACAGGACACAACGCTGCCTTGAAATCTTTTTAAAACGTGGATTCAACTTTCAATCCACAAATGTAAGATAACAAAATAAACTTCCTCTGCCTCTTGCTTCAACAACTACAGCAGCGCCTCGATGAAAGCACAAGGAAAGTGTAGAAGACCAACAAGGGAAATCATTTACCTGGAAGTATGAACAAACTAAGGGCTGTGCAGTGTGTACTGTAGCTCTTCTGTTGTCATAACAACGTATCTACACTCTCAGTTATAGCCGAACAACAGCATCATAGTTTTAGTTTTTGATTAAGATGGAAACTTCACACTCACGTCACCTTTGAGACAAAATAAATAAGCGCCAATTCCAAAAACTTTTTTTTTTTCAAATTTAACAGATGAAATGATTAAGGTCAAATTAACTAATAGTGTTTGAATACGGTGCAGCAACCCTCTTTTGAATCTTATCCCGGCGTATTCTCGATCCCTGTCTATTTGAGTCCCCACAATTCCGACTCGCTTGAGTTGTTCCTATCGGATGTGGCGTCGGCGGCCTTGTGGTTAGGCTACCGGACTCGTAATCGTGAGGTTGCGGGGTCGGGGGTTCGAGCAGCGGGCCGACGTTGTGTTCTTGGGAAAGGCACTTTACACAAATTTTCCCCACTTCACCCAGGTGGAAATGGGTACCCGGCGAAAGATCTTGTCAGTATGTTAGTGTTTTAGCGCCTATAAATGACTGCTTGCACTGTATGCTTCCCAGGAGGTTAAGTTTGTCCCAGAAAGCTCTCAGGTCTGCTGGGGTAATAGTAAAGATTGTGAAGCGAATAGAGCTTGTTGTTGAGCTGGAATTTGCGCTATACAAATGCTGTCTATTATTATTAAAAAGACGTTAAATCGAGTCCCATTTTTCTAATAACGTACTGAGGGTTTTGTTTGTTTTTGTAAAAAGAAGCACATAGACGCAAGAACTGTCATTTGGTGTTAACGGAAAAAGGAAAAAACAACAGACAGAAAGAAAAAAAAGTAAGATCTTCCAGTGAAGCCCTCAAACCATCCAGTCCGTAAAGAGGTGAAAGGCTAAACACACATTTTGTATCAACCCATATCATTCAATACTATAGAGTGAAATGCCGTACCATACCATAGAATACAATACAAAATCTTGCCGAGTGATGAGAAACAGCTCTCTCTCGCTCTCTCTCTCTCTCTTTCTCTCTCTCTCTCTCTCTCTCTCTCTCTCTCTCTCTGACTCTCTGACTCTTTCTCTGACTCTCTGACTCTTTCTCTCTCTCCTGTCCTCCCTCTCTCCCGTTCTCATACACACACGTACACACGCATGCACACATACAAATACACACACAAACGCACACTCACATACGCGTGCGCACACACACGAATATACACACAAATGCACACACCCACGCACACACACACACACACTCACACACACACACACACACTCACACACACTCACACACACACACACA